CTAGATAACACCAGTCTACCACTACCGAAGGTCCTGGATAGAGTGGGAGAAAAGTGTTGAATGAAACTCAGAATCATAAACAGGAAGAGGCTTACGGTTAGACAGAGACTAGTGGATATTCTGAGACTGTGGCCGGAGTCGTCCTTCAGGACTAGAAATGAACTTACCCCCATGGCTCAATTTTCAGCAGATCAATGGACAGGTCTATAAGTGCACCAATAACACTAGTGAGGTGTTACACCTTAGAATAATCCACCATTTGAGAGCAAAAGGGCAGTATTTATCTAAGGACAAAGTTGAGGAGGGTTAGGAAAGGAGGAAGGAAAACAAGAAGTACAGGGAGGAAGCAGGATGCGTGTTGTTGCATCATGGAGTCTGAATCAACGAGATGAAACAAAATGTGTATGAATTGCTGAATGAAGAAACATCTGCTCTGTAAACCTTCACCCAATTCACAATAAAAGGTTTTTAAAGATAAAATAAAAAGTTAAAAAGAAAGAAAGAAGTGCTGGCAACATTATTATTGAGAAATCAGTAACTTCTCCCTAGGCAAGGCCACCACAGAATTCCTTGCAACAGATCCACCTCTGTAGCCTCAGGGGCTATGACATCCCTCCTCACTTTGTTTTCCGTGTGCCAGATTCTCTTTTTCCTGGAATCATTTAAGCAGCCTTCCCTTGACCATGAAACGTCAACTTTTGCTGGTCTTCGATAGACTGGTCTTGGAACATTTGTTGGTCTTTGATAGATCTCTGATTCTACGGGTGGTGGGACAGGTGAAGGGTGCTGGGTTGCAGGAGCTATGAGTCCCTTTCCACAGAAAATGCCTTCTTTGCTAGAAGTCCAGGGTACACACCAGCATTAGGTCATGGTTTTATTTCCAGGCTTGGTCTTAAGTAAATACTCCTTTTCTAAAGAAGAATGGTCCTTGGATAAAGGGACTGGATTGTCATATCTTCATTCATTCATTTATTCAAAGAATAATAAAGTCTCTGATGATGAATTCACAAAGAAAAACAAGGAAAAGGGAAATCTCTGCTTATTTTAGGAAAAGAAAAGGAAGCACCAGAGAAAGAATGAACACCAATGTTTATTAGGACAGAAAAGGAGGTGGGAAATAAGAGATGATTAAAAAACAATTCTGTAGCCCCAAATGGTGTACTTCACTACTCCTACATTTTGTTGTTGTTGTTGTTGTGAAGTGCTGTCAAGTCAATTCCGACCCACAGCGACCTTGTATAGGGTTTCCGAGGAACAGCTGGTGAGCTTGAATTGCCTACCTTGCAGTTCAAACGGTTTTGCAGTCTGACGCACTGACCCACAGCGTCACACCAGGACTCCTGCTCCTATATCTTAGGGTGGGCATTTGGCTCTAATTCCTGTTCTGAGGGTCCCAGCCTTGCCAGTCCTGGTCAGATTCTGGTCCTATCTCCCTGTACAAACTGGTAAGAAGGCTATTTTGAGGAGTCGGTGGGGAGGTAGGGGTCAGTGTATACTTTAAGCTATTAGTTTAAATGATCTAAGCCAGTTACTAAAACAAAGCAGAATATATATTTTTCATCGAACTCCCAACACATCTTTGGCACGCACACACTTCTCAAGGTCTGAAGACGTCCATTTCTGCAGTTTAAAAGCAAATGATGAAGGAATTTCGTCCAGGCTCACCGTTGTCTAAGCTGCTGCCTATAAAGACGTTTGCTGGAAAAGAACAAGAAAATAAAGTTAGTATGATGACAATTAGGATGGTGATGGTGGTGATGATGGCGGTGATGGTGGTGGTGGTGGTGATGGTGTTAATGGTGGTGATGGAGGTGGTGGTGGTGATGGTGATGGTGATGGTGGTGGTGGTGATGGTGTTAATGGTGGTGATGGTGGTGATGGTGTTGGTGGGGATGCTGGTGGTGATGGTGATGGTGGTGATGGTG